AAAAAAAAAAAAATACAAAGAAAACTGATATATAGATAAAGTTATTTCAATAAAACCTATTAAAGTCATAAGATGTAGTGTAAAATTATACAAACCAAAAAAAGAAGAAATCTATTGAAATAAATTGAAATGTAAAATAATAATGCTTGAATGTTAATATATAAAATTTTTTACTATTGTTTCTTTATGCATTTTCTTTACACCTGACTTTGGTAATAATTTCTTTTTTTAAATAATTTCTCGGTAAAATAACATAAAAATAATACAATTTTCATGAGTTTTTTTTAAAAAAAAATATATTTTAAATAATGAAAGATAAAAAGACAATGAACGAAACCTTGTTCATGGTTACACGAATAATTGAACAATGGCGTTACTTAAGTTTTAAAATGGCGCACAGTTTTATGAGTAAAGGTATATGAGAATCGGAATAGTTAAATAAAAATGACAAATTTAGTAATTGAAAAGAAAAACTATTACTTCATAATTAGTAGGTACGTTCATATATTCATTAAAAACTTTGATGCATGAATAGAACAATATGATTTTCTCAATCCAATTGTGTTTAGGAAAATATTTTCATTTATTCATTGAGAATTTTTTTTTTTTTAAAAGAAACCATTTTTTTTTTTTCTATCATTAATTTTAACGAAAATATTACGGAATAAATTCGGTGATTTTTTTAAAGAAATCTATTATCTAACTTTGGTCAACAATAAATCCATCATTTTAAGTAATTTATTCTTGTAAAGTATTTTTTCATGATAATCGAAGGAATTTCCGAACATATTTCCGTTATATACGTATACTGATGAAGTACATTGTTAAAAATACGAAACATTTCTTTTTTACGCCATTATTATTTATTAGAAGAGAAATTATTAGCCAACTTACATATCGATCACATGTTAAATAACTACTTAATATTACTAATAATAATTTCATTGTTATTTATATCACCTAATACAGATTTATCCGTAATAATAACTCATAATAACCCATAATAACCCATAATAACCCATAATAATCCCAACCCCCCTACCCCGGAAGATAAAAAATATTCATATGAAAAGAAAACAAAGTATTCAGGATTAAAGTTTTACTTGATTTACTTGATTTAAACTCGGTTAATATTTCAATACAAATTCCGAAATTTTTGTTAACTAAAAATAAGTGAAAATACCAAATTTAGTTTTATTAAAACATTATGACTAAACAATATTTACAATATTTTGCAAGTTAAATAACAAGTTTTTGTTTTTGTCATTCCTTAAAATTTTCTGTGACGATCTCATTGTATATATGTGACGTTTCTATATCTTGAAACTTTTCTTCATTCCGAATAAATTATGATAATCTGTTTCATTCTTTACTTTCCAAAATAACAAATTTCATTTCATTTTAAAAAAATTATTATAAAATATATATATAAAATATACATATTAAAATAAGCTATCCAAATTAGAAATACATAAGCGCCACTATTACACATTATCACATATATTACCATATATTTTACATATTTTACACATATTACACATATTACACAAAAACAAAACAAAAACTCTGTTAATTATAATCTTTTGAAATACAAAAATGGAAAATCATGATTTTTATTGAAATGAACAAATATATCGATTAACAATATAAACAGTTTTAACTAGTGGTGAGAAATTATTAATGCATTTAAATACTTTTATAATTTATACAACTGAAAAATTATTTGATCATCAACATAAATTAAAAATGATTAATTAACAAATTAATACGCATAAATTCTCCTCGGTATAACAAATATCGTAACCATTAAAAAACCAAACAAAAAATTTTCTTTTATTTCCCATATATTTTTCATTTAAAATTCATTTAAATTCTTTATAATATAAAAAAAAAAAAAAAAATATATTTTTTTTTAAACCTTTTTTTTTCCCCTTGTAATCCAATTTTGATTTTCTGTAGGCAAAAATAAAGTAACAATTTAAGTAATTTATTGAAAGAAACAAACTAATCACAAATCTGAAACGCGTTTTGCATATAACAAATAAAAAATTCATTTAAGCATAAAAAAGTAAAAAAGTATGTATAATATATAATATATACAATATAATTATATTATATATTATATATTATATTATATATCTTCTTGTGATCTTTTATTTATCCTAAACAAAATCACGTATATAAATAAATTTTGAAAATTTTTTGTTATGTATTTCATTTTCTTACAAATTTGGTAATGAATGATATATATATATAAACATTTATACAAGGTATATATATACATTTTATATAAATTCTATATATATAATACGCCTCAATGTCACAATACATAAATTTTATTTATACCAGCCACATAAATTAAAGAGTTGTGTAAAATAGATCATTATTTGATGTCCAAATTTTGACAACAGAGTAATTTCGTTCCTTTTAAGTTTTGGTTGTGTAAAATTAACTATAATGAAGAATGCAAATTATATTGTTGTTGATTTATGCATCTAAAAAACTTTTTACTATAAGCATTTTATACTAAAATGATGCATGATGAAAGTAAAATGAAAACCCGAAAATTCGGAATCGATTTGTGTAAAAGTTGTACATCATATTAAGTAACATATTACGTAAGTGAATTAATTGCCAATCATTAACAACCTCAATATTCCAATTTGTTTTTCCGTCATTTCATGTGATGTAAAAACGCGAAATTAAACTAGTTTTTATACATATATATAAATTCACGTTTTAATGAATACAAATAAAGTCTTATTATTATTATTATTATTATTATTATTATTATTATTTATTCATAATAATAAAAAAAAAAAAAAAAAAAAAAAAAAAGAAAAAAGTTTGTAATTACAAAGTACCATTTTTAGTTCATAAGAGAAAAAAAAAATCTTGGATGTTAATTGAGAAGAAAGTTTTTATAAAAGGAAAAGATCTTTTGAACGCGTGATCAAACCATTGTATATTGAATATAATCATTGTTAATCTAATAGTATTAATAGTGAATAACCTTAAATTTTTAATTTAAAACGCGTAAAAAAAAAAAAAAAAGGAGAATTTGATTATCAAAAGAAAACAATAGAACCAAAATTGGTTTAGTAGTTGTTTAAATAACTAAAAAGTTATCAAGTTTTTTGTCGGCGTAAAAAAAAAATAAATATATCCGTTGATATAATATCTAATATATCTTCTTATCCGTCTTGAACCATTAATAGACTTTTTAGTATAATAAACATTTTTATCGAATTCCTACTAGTACTTTATATACATGAGATGATAATCGGTAGATAGCGAAATAGTCCAAACGCGGAATTTCTTTTGATGTCCTAAAATTGACAACTATTATTATCTTTGTTGATCTGTACCACTCTTATATTTTATCGTGCGCCACTAACAAATTCTTTTTTTTGTTATGATCGTAATCACGCGTGATTTCTATCTTTATTTTATCGTATTCTATATTTATATCAAACTTTTTTCTGATTTTTTTTCTATAATTAGCATTCATTTCAATATTTAACCTATCATTTGTCATCCATATGGTCAATTAATAAATGCATTTCGGAAATGACCAATTAATAATATTTGACACTCTTAATAGACATTTGATAAACAATTATGATGATTAGTTTACTGGGGTTGCACATTACACCTAGTTAGTGTAAATTACCTCCGAACTAGTTTTACTTTTATGTGTGATAATAAATACATTATCCAATTTTGACCTCTTTTTCGTTAGTATAAGCCTGGGTAAAAAAAACCCCCCCCCCCTTACTTTCTCAATCTAATAATTTATATTGTCTTCCACATATATTCAATTAATTTCAAACCGTTCAATTAATTGATCGATTTATATATTTTTTTCTCAAGTCCGAATATGAATGTTTTTTTTTAAAAAAAAAAAAAAAAATTTTTTTTTTTTTTTT